TTGAACCACGTAAATTTTTAATACAGTATTTTATAGAAACAAAATCTATGAGTAGAATGATGCACCAGGTAACAACAAATACGCTTCGCTATTATATAATCAATTATAACATTATTATTGCTCAAACATTTACCTAATAGAAAGTATCTCAAATAAATATTGTCACCTAATATATTTGAATGATAGGGATTTCATAATAACTTTGTTTTCTAATCTTATTATATTCTCTTGATTCGTAGATATGTGTATTCTATTCACATCAGATATTTCAAAAGTGCGGATAAACACACAATCACTGCACTCGTATTATCTGCAAAGAAAACAAATTAAAATAAATTCAATAATTAAACATGTTTTTAATTGCGCGTTAAATATGTACAATTGAAATAAAAGTAATATGAATATTTTTTGTCATGGGCGAAACATGTAGGGAGAAACAAAAGATAATAATATAATTAATATATTTAATATAATAGAAATTAAAAATGCATTTTGATATTTAAAATACAAAATAATGAATCAAAAACATGTACAACAATAGAAACAAACTAGGATACACAAACACACACTGGCAGATTGAAAACTGTATTTTAAACACTCTAAAACAAATGCCAAATAAAAAAATGATGATCAATAAATCAACGATAAACATAAGACGATTTAAAACATAAATAATATATAACTATCTTATAAACATCTTTGATCGCAAGTACATGGATTACGAAATGGGCATATATCTAATATCGATATATATTGCAAACACAGATCATAATTTTATATAACCATAATTTCATATAAATAAAAGAATACGATATGAGCTATAAAATTTACTAAATCTTAATCTTAAATCTTAAATAAATATTAATTCTTCAAAATTTAATAACCTTAATGATCATCATGATTAAATGATAGGTTTATCAAAATATTTCAAAATGACTTCATCTAACTAAACTATACCATATTCCAGTCACAGTTGTTCTAATATTTGACAGATGTTTTGAATAGCTTAATTTGAAGTCGCTAAACATATTTTACATTAGTTATTAATTTTTTCAATTTTTACGTTTAATCTTTACTAATAAAGTAATTTTTATATTTGTTTTCTCGAGGTCCACCACCGATGTGTCCAAAACCAGTAAAGTTAAGCATTGTTTAACAACAATATTTGAAAGTAGAGGGAAAAGGATGTATAACCAGCTATAACCTTGATTCTCATGACCCTGCTATCGGAAGATAAAGAGTAATATTTGAAAAACCAAAATAAAAGTATTTTCTTCCGTTGGTAGTATTTTAGCATTAGTTAAAAATGTAATTATTTTGTAAAATACCTTTAAAATTAAAATAGGACATTAAACCTGTTTGCCACCTGGCCGTTCCAAGTTACTACGCCTATACGTTAAAAAGGTCTAGATAACAAATTGAAAAACAACAAAAAAGCACATTTCTACAATGATGAAGTAGCTGACAGTTTTATTGAACGTAGTCAGATAATTGTTCGTTTGAAATGTGTTATTTGTTGTGATATAATTAATTTGATTTTTATAATATACTTAATATTTGCTCAAAGTCAAATTGGACCTTTGTGCCTCGCTCTGCTCTACATATATACTTTTTATTAAATTTACTTTAATTCATCGAATGTTACTTGAAACTTTTCAAAAAGCAGGTCAAAGAAGAAATACTTAATTCATTTTCTATCTTTCCTCGCAGAAATTTGAAAATTTTTCATAAGCTCAGTAGTATTATTTGAAATTATACACCAAATCCAGAATCAAAAAACGACTTGGTTTGGATTATACCATGTTTTCTATAGAAAGTGTATAATACTTCCAGTTTGATTGTATTGACAAAATATAGACAAACTACTGAGGTATATAATACCTCATTGTATATAACATTCAAACAACACATCCTTTATTCACTTAAAGTATTAATTTAATTGATTCTCTAGTAATTGTTTAGAATGTACCTTACTTAGCAAAACAACGTTTGCTGGGTCAGCTAGTATATATATACATATATACACGTATATATATATATATATATATGTACGCGTGAAAAATATTCTTAACTAGTTGGTTTGGTATTTAGCCTTGAGGCAAATTACATGAACTTCCCGATATGTGTAAATAATCGACTTGATCAAAAAAATGTGTAAATAATATACTTCATCAATCCTACTTAATAAAAAAAAACGATAATAATTCTAGCAAAGTTTGACGAATTTTTAAAATTAAACTACTTGTTGTAAGGCCGTAGCATTACAGTAAGTTCTATAAGACCATGATGTATATCGCCAAAAAAGTTCCATGAAAATCGGCTTCAATTTTTTTTTCAACAGTTCATTACAAGAAAACGGCTCGGTAGATTTTCACCTAAAATTAATCAGCATCATTCCCAACTAATATCTTTCGAACAGTTTTTGATTTTTTAAAATCGGTTCGGTAGGATGAGCTGAAATGTGGACGAAAATTTAACACTTTTTTTCAACATTTAATACAAGAAAACGGCTCGGTAGATTTTCACCTAAAATTAATCAGCATCATTCCCAACTAATATCTTTCGAACAGTTTTTGATTTTTAAAATCGGTTCGGTAGGATGAGCTTAAATGTGGACGAAAATTTAACACTTTTTTTCAACATTTAATTACAAGAAAACGGCTCGGTAGATTTTCACCTAAAATTAATCAGCATCATTCCCAACTAATATCTTTCGAACAGTTTTGATTTTTTATATCGGTTCGGTAGGATGAGCTTAAATGTGGACGAAAATTTAACACTTTTTTCAACAGTTAATTACAAGAAAACGGCTCGGTAGATTTTCACCTAAAATTAATCAGCATCATTCCCAACTAATATCTTTCGAACAGTTTTTGATTTTTAAAATCGGTTCGGTAGGATGAGCTTAAATGTGGACGAAAATTTAACACTTTTTTTCAACATTTAATTACAAGAAAACGGCTCGTAGATTTTCACCTAAAATTAATCAGCATCATTCCCAACTAATATCTTTCGAACAGTTTTTGATTTTTTAAAATCGGTTCGGTAGGATGAGCTTAAATGTGGACGAAAAGTTCAACACTTTTTTTCAAATTACGAAGAAACGGCTTGGCAGATCGTTGCACAAAACTGACAAACGATAGTCCTCACCGAAATACATCAAATGGCTTTTAAATTTCTAAAATCGGTTCAGGCGTTTTTGAGAAAACGTCGATCAAAAGTCTAATTTTGACAAATGCCAAAAAGACCATACTGATTTTTGCAAACTTTGACGAATTTTTAAAGCTGACCAGTTGTCGTAGGGCCGTAATATTTTAGTATGACCTAGAAGACTGTGGTATCTATCGTCAAAAAAATAATCATAAAATTGTCAAAATTTTTTTTTTTTAACTTTATTACAAGAAAACGGCCCGGCCGATCTTTACCAAAAACTAATCAGCACGATTCCCAACCAATATCTATCGAACGGTTTTTGAATTTTCAGAATCGATTCAGAATTGCGGGCTAAAACGTGGACGAAAAATTTTTCACTTTTCTGCAATTTACAAAGAAACGGCCCGCCGATCGCCGCACAAAACTCAGAGACGATAGTCCTCATCGAGATACATCAAATGGCTTTTAAATTTTTGAAATCGGTCCAACCGTTTTGGAGAAAACGTCGATTTACGGCAAAAAATCTGTTCACACACACACACACACACATACACACACACACACACACACACACACATACTTTTTCCAAATTTGGTCTCATTCGATTCAGAATGGCTCGAAACGTCGAGAAAACATAAAATTAGCGATTCGGATTTTTTGATGAAAACATAAACTTCTCCTTCGGGAAGTTAAAAAAATTGACATAAAATAAAATTAATATTCTTACATTTGTTTGCGACAGAACTTGGCCCTCTTGCTGTGACCACGTTGGACTCCAGATCATCTGAATCTTCCTCCTCTAGATGCTGAATTTCCCCGTAATCTTCGCTGTAAAACATGTACGAGGCCTCGAAGCCGGTTCCATCTAAACGATCATTTGAGCGAAAACTGACCCGAAAGAAATTATCTTCCGAATCTATAGTGAATTCTTCAACTTGGCCGCAGTGTCTCCGATGTTTAGGGTCGTGAGTCATATAGTTTGAGAACTCGACATAATCACTTGCGCTGACAGCCTCACACCTTAATTTTTTTTTAAAAATGCATGTTATAAATGCTATAAAGTAACATTCGAAATTTAATACGATGTTTTTGCATCAATTGATACTTTCCAAAAATAGTATATAGTAAAATTTAACAAATCCGAATATTTTAAAAATGTGAATGTAATTATTTATGGCAAAATGCGTTAAAAAATCATATCGATTTAAAGTTTATACATGATTAACCAAGAATTAAAATATAGTTCGCAATAAATAAATTCTAAAAATATTATCAATACATGGAGAAATACGATCAATAATATTATCAGTGCTTCCTAATTCCTTAAAGAATCATAAGTTACCTACTATTTATACTAAAAATAATGTTTATATTAAAACCGCAAATAGACAATAGAAATTATTATATTAATATAAGTATCAGTTCGGGCTATGATCGAACATCGCGTTACTTAAGTCCATAATTTTAAAATAAGATCACATGCCTTTCAATATAATGTTAGAAATCATAATACAAATTTAAATACAAGCACTCAAAGGAATGGGAAGTCATTTAACAATATAGCGATCTTTCATATGTTACAAAGCGTTTTATAATTTTTAATTACATTATATTAGTTGTTTATAGATAAATAAGAAAAATTAGTGATACTGTTCCTTAAAACTTGTATTTATCGCAATTATAAATGATTACTTACGGTAATACACCTTCTACATCAAAATATGTGAAGTGAAGACGAACTCGCAAACCTGGAGCGCCGCGAAAGTAATAGCGGCATTCTGTATCTCGAGGATACGAACCCGGAAAATTTGGGGATGTAAAAATTCCTGACATCCGAGAACTGGATTCAAAAGAAAATGCGCATGGTTGTTCCGCTACTTGTCTTCCACTAGTTATGCCAAAATCTATAAAACATTTGAAAATAAATTAAATCACATTACAAAAGTAAAAATGAAAAAAATGACTACGAAACTATAACAAAGTATACTTAATGTTGAATTATATATCACAAAATACATAAAAATGATAAGTTCGATATTTGAAAAAAATAACTAGAATGTTATGTATGTACATTTAATTCTCCGTCGGTCGGAGTGGTCTGGCTAGACTTTTTTCGACTTCAATTTAAAAAAAAAATACTTTTAGTAATCCTATCGACCTAAAATTTCTGGACATTTCCTAAAATTTCATAAGATGTCGATCAATGAAAAAATCAGGACGAAAAAATGTGTGGCCCAGCCAGACCACTCCGACCGTTCGAAGGTAAATAAATATCCGACCAACGGAGGGTTAAACAAATAAATAATTTTAAAAAATCTAAGATTAAAATTTATTTCAAATCCATACGTTTCGGCTAACATCCTAGCCTTCATTTGGTGGAATATTCTGCCAATTACAATAATTAAACTAAGTTAATAATTTGTATTAGTTTAAAAAAAATAATGAAAATAATAAACTAATCTAAAAACAATTACAATTTGGTAAGTTAATTAATGAAATACTATTGCGCCATGGTATTAAAATGTGCACTATTGTAAAATCTATATATTTTGGCATCACAACAAAATACATGTATAATATTTATTAAGTTATCGAGAATGTGTACTAACTGTTCTGATAGAAATGTCGCATTTTTTTTTGGAAAAGAAAATATATAAATATACTTGTCATAAAAGTTTGTACATGTATTCGGCAAATTGTGAAAATGGCAATAACTATAGAATTTTGTCTTTAAAAAAAATCGACACGCAATTCAAAAACCATGTATTTGTTTCGTTCAGAGATGTAAAGTCGTTTCTTTTACTTAAGACCTTGTCGCTATATAATTAGATAAACAACCATTCAACAAACCTTATTTGATTAACTTTGATTAATTATTTAAGGGTTAACTAGTTGGTATTGGTATTTTGCGTTGAGGCAAGTTACATGAACTACCCGATATGTGTAAATAATCGACTTAATCAATAAAAAATAAATTAATTTATGAGTGATTAAAAGTATAAAACTAATCAGTGTCATTCCCAACTAATATCCTTCGAACAGTTTTTGATTTTTTAAAATCGATTCGGTAGTATGAGCTTAAATGCGGACGAAATGTTTAACACTTTTTTCCAAATTACAAAGAAACGGCTCGTCTGATCGTCGAACAAAACTGAAAAACGATAATCCTTTTAAATTTCTGAAATCGATTCAGGCGTTTTTGAGCAAACGTCGATAGAAGGCCTAATTTTGACAAACGCCAAAAAAACGATACTAATTATTGCAAACTTTGACAAATTTTTAAAGTTAAACGAGTTGTCGTACAGCCGTAATATTTTAATATGATCTAGAAGACTATGGTATCTACCGTTAAAAAATATTAATAAAAATCGTTTAAAATGTTTTTTAACACTTTGTTACAAAGATAACGGCCCGGCCGATCTTTACCAAAAACTATAATCAGCACGATTCCCAAACAATATCTTTCAAACAAATTTTGAGTTTTTAAAAACGAATCAGAATCGCGGGCTAAAACGTGGACAAAAGATTTTTCACTTTTCGGCTATTTATAAAAAAACGGCTTGGCCGATCGTCGCACAAAACTGACAAACAATAGTCTTCAACGAGATACATCAAATGGTTTTTAAATTTTTGAAATCGGTCCAGCCGCTTTTGAGAAAACATCGATTTAGAGCAAAAAATCTGTTCACGCACACGCACACACACATGCTTTTTCCAAATTTCTCATCTCATTCAAAACATAAAATTAGTGAATCGGATTTTTTGATGAAAACAAACTTCTCCTTCGGAAAGTTAAAAAAATCTATGCTATGGTTTAAATTGTTTATATGGTCTGTAATCATAGTTTCAAATTCAAGAAGTTCAAATTAGTAATTTTATTAGTTTTTGAATTGTTTTTGTGTTGATATAGGCGTTTGCAAACAGTAAACAATTTAAATTTATGATTACAAGGCGTTTTTGACGTTATCATTCATAATCTTGAAAGTCGTTAAAATTTTATTTATTATGTATACAATCATCATCATAAGCTCTTCATCAAAAAAGATTCCGAATACCGAATAGCAACCAAATATTCAGTGCAAGCCTACTTTAAACAAATTTTCTATCAATTTATTTGTATTTTACGGCTACGAAATCAACTGTGAATTTGTGAATTTTGATTATTATATTGGTTTCAAAATGAAACTTCTATCGTGACTTTCGAATGTTATCCTACCTTCTGTAAATCTATATACTGCTTTAAAGGAACGCGGTGGACCTTCTACGTCGCCATCACCATTGAATTCTAGCAGCATGCGAGCACCGTTCGACATGACGGGGCCGGGCAAGCGATCCGGACCCAGAGTGCATAGAGATTCGGTTTTCTCCATTCGGCCTTCAATCGGCACATATATATCGATACGGTCGCTATTGTCGCACCTGTGACAAACATTAATTAGTATTTCATAACAGATCCTAAACAATTATACTGATCAACTTTCCAAAGGAAGAACGAACGAACATATAGATCGATTGCAAATTCTGCCCATTATTAACGCAGAATTCGTTTATGCGCACAATTATACAAACTATTAGATAAAAATAAGCTTCGTTTACTTACAATTCACGATTTTATTTCTTTGTACGTGAAACAACTAAATTTATTTTCTTTAAGCATTAATTTGATTTAATTAATTTTAAAATAAACACAACAATCTACCCAGATCACAGAAAGCTCTGTTGTTTATCTGTTGTACTTTATAGTCGCAGATTAGTAACTTAAAATTAGTTTATGCTATTACAATATTACATTAATTATTACAATTGATGCAATACTTGACACATAAAAATAAAATTTATTGATACGCATTTTATAAAATACAAAATTCTAATACTTACTCTTTCGTGTCAACGCTTACACCAGGAAGATCAAAGTGTGTGAATACAATTTGAACTCTTTCTTTACCACGTCCCTGAAAATAATTTAAAATTATAATACTATGTAGTAAAACTCTGTACGGATCGAAGACATAAACTCTAAGAAAGGCCGACAAAATCTACCTGAGAAGTTTTGAAATGTGGTGCTGGAGGCGGATGGAGAAGATAAAGTGGACAGACAAAATAACAAATGAAGAAGTCCTGAGAAGAGTGGGCAAAGAAAGGACTCTAATGAGCACAACCCTGGAAAGAAAAGGAAACTGGATCGGACCCCTTCTGCAAAAAGAGTGCCTCCTGCACGAAGTCGTCGAGGGTAAAATAGAAGGACTGAAAGGAATTGGAAGAAAAAGATTGCAAATGATTGACGCGAGAAGATAAAATACAGGGAACTAAAAGCCAAAGCCCAAGATTAAGAAGCATGGAAGCAGAAGCTCGGAAAAGAAAATACATGAAAAAAAAGGGGGGAGTAGTGGTAATGGGAATGATACACAAGGGGCAAGAGAATCATTTATTGTGGTGGCTCTCGCACCATGTAGCATAAGACCTGCCTTCGGACAGACTACCATTTATTAAAATTATTTTTATGTAGTAATTATATTTGCAGTAGTTTTAATATCATTATGAACAAACGTTGCGCCCAAAATTATTTACAAGCATCTTTATTACCATCCGTGGATTAGAGAATGGAGCTATGGAATTTCAATTCAAAGGTCCCAGGTTCGATACCCGCCTCGTCAAGTCTAATATGAAACAGTTGTGTCATTTTTACTTATAACAGAAGTATAGATAGCAATGGGATTCTATGTGAAAATAAATAACCCCTACCCTGCATTGCTACATCAATAAAAAAATCATCACTATTGCGGAAATTATAATAGTAAAGACTTAATGACAGAGATATAACAAAGTCAAATCTTCACAAAAGCTTATAAGACCCTCAAATTCTGATCGCTTACGATATAATATAAAAAAACTGTTTAAAAAATTATTGTTAGAAATAGGGTCATATTTATGGTAATTCCTTTATTATTCGATGGTTGGTTGTAAATTAGTTTTAAGCAATAAATTTAATAGCATATATGATAAATAAATAAAAATAAAATATAAATAAGATATTATTGTATGTATCACATTTATTATTATTTAGTTCATATTAATCACTATAGCTCACCTGAAAATGAAACTTGCAGTGTGTCTTTGCTGGATAAGACGATGGATATAATGGCGATGTAAAAATCCCTTCTTTTGCAACATCGCTATTAAAAAATGAATCACAATCTGATGCTGAAATTTGAAATAAATATGTTATTATGATCCATAAAAACAAATTTTTATAAAAATACTTACATCCTGTGTGAACATTATTCAAAGCTGCATTGAAGATTCCGGCTGCATGCTCCAATATGTGATTAGAATCAATTTCTGTAAAATAAATATTATATACATATAACATTGAATAATACGTTAACATATTGTTAACAAATTTAATAGATAATGAAAATAATGGATTAGATCCTAATATTTTATCAAGTACTAGTTAAAATTAATGTAGTATTTATATATTGAATCATTTTTATGTGAGTATTTTTTCGAAACTATTCATATTTTATGACCTTAATTTAAAAAGGAAATGTTAATGCATAATGTAGAATCATTGAAAATTTGTAATTATTCACACATTTTGCATAAATTTCGCTATATAAGGTAACGTCATAAATTCCTTTCAGTCTTGACAATCGTATTATTAGCGATGTCAAATATTATATAGATAGAAACATTATTGATATTCAGCATGATTAAAGTTCGAAGTATATTATTGAGTACAAAGTATAATATGTGGGTATAGTGGTTCCGATTTTAATACCCATGTCGAGCAGCTTGATATCAACTTCTAGCTGATTTTTTTTAGAAAAACTTGACCACCGACAGTAAGTGCTGTGAAATATCACTGACAGTGCTAAAACCGACGTCGTACGCAGCTTGATTTAGGGTGGAATGTTTATAAAACATATTTTAAACAATAAAATAATTGAAAATAAATCATAGGTTGCGTGGAATGGACGTTTGGGCTGTCAAACAGAAACACTTTGGCCGGTCGCAATTTAGGCCCCGTTTAATATAGAAACCGCGTTTTCAGAGAACGGGTTAAAAGATGGCGGTATATATAATACACACATATATATATATATATATATATATACTCTTAATACTAGTGGTTAGCTTTATCATCATAATAATTATAAAAACTATAGCTGTGATATATAAGTAGTCATACGGAATGACCCTAAGACGCCACTAGTCTTTCCGCGACACTTTGTTACGGCGCCAATTCGATTCAAAAAATATCACGGAAACCTAACACAAGATTGACAAGTTACAAACATAATCATTAATAATATGTATCAACCAACCATGTAGTCCTTGAAATTGAAACGTTGCTTTGAAACCATGTCCTGGTATATTTGATTTCGCAAAAAAATGAACTAGTAGTTCACGGCCTGTAGACAACACCTCTACTTCTGCGCCTTCATTGCATAAAGCGCGAATTACAGGTGCATTACGAGTTCCGCCATCGTGCACGGTGATTACATCATCACTGTCGGCGCAACTTTAATGATTTAAACACATTTTAGCAAAGAGAAGCAAAAGATTTTAGCAAAAAGTAAGTTCATGATTGATGCATTACCACCATGCAAAAATGAAAAAACTCAATATAGGCATCTAGCTTATTTTATTAGTTCAATGATACTGATTTTGATTGAAATAACAACAAAGATTTTTAAATTATATTAATAAAAATGCTATATATTGTACGAAAAATAATATAGGTAAACAAGCAAAAACTGATATACCTTAAATCTCCTTTCTGCATAGAAAATTCTTCAAAAACGATTTTGATGCGCTCAGATGGCCTATAACATATCAATTATTTATATTATTCAGAGCTGAGTTAAATCACACAGTAAAGTGTTCTCTTCTATTACTATAATATAACGAGCTTTACCTGGCTCGAAAACGATATGAACAGCTCACTTTTCCTGGATACGTGGCCGGATATCGTGGGCTATGGAAATGTCCACTCGAAGGACTAAGATCTCCAGACAAAAATTGGTGATCGCATTCAGTCCCAGCTAATTTTTGCCCATCAGTCCTAAATAACCCTAAAATGCACACCATATCATTATATAAGAGTTTAACCCACATTTAATGCTGTATAAAAGGATAAAAACTCATATTGTAAAGAAAAATCAAATCTTTATAATATAAACCCTTACAATCTGAATTTTATTAAATTTTTATTTGTATTTGGTACTTAAAACATTTGTGAGCTAAAAAATAAATACCAATAGATTACGCTTAAATAAGACTATTGGGATAATTCCATTTGAAATGTAATTACTCGGTGGTTCATCAATTTTATTAGCAAAATAATTGCACGACATCATCAACCACAAAATGAGTTGCGCTGGTAAGATATTGGTTAAAAAAGATGGCTTTATTTTATAAATTAAAAATTGCATTACAAATATTTACTTCTTCGACTAACAATAAGATAAGTATCGCCCATGTATTTACCCTTTTCGATTGTATATCTGCTCTCAGCCACCATAGCAAGCGACTATATGAATCGTGTACTATATGCATTCATACAACATGCAGTAAATATAAAACATTAATTTTATTCAAAAACATACTATTAGATGAGTGAAACGAATAACTAGTGGGGTGTATGGCATCGTGCCTTAAGATAAATTGCTGGAACTTCCCGTACCGTAACGAAATGTTCGAAGAATATTGAATGTTTTCAAATAGATTATTATAAATATTGTAACATGGTCTAATACTTATAAGAATTATATAAACTGAATTGCAAAGTTGAAATTATTTGTTTAAAGTATATTAGAACTTTAGTCAGAATTAAAAGTAAAATCTCAATTATTTTCGATATACAAAAAAATATATTTTGAAAAAAAATTGAAACAAAATTTTTTTTTTCAAAAGCAATTACTTTCTTGAAACAAGCAGAAAGTTTTTTGAATAATTCAAATCGTGCACTTAGTTCTCTCAAAAACTGCCATTTTTGCACATTTAGCTCTGTATCTTCGAAATTGATTGATTGATTGAAAAAAATCATATAATTGATGTAATGTATATTACTTTTTAAAAAAATTAATGAATATAATAATATTTATTATAAAATCATGATATGTAGCATGTTTTTTTTTAAATTTTTGGAAGGTCTTTTTGTACTAGTTCCTTGTCCCTTGGAACGTAACTACATGTTATGCGAGGTTTAGCTGTATTTATATATCCTACATTTTAAGAATCATTATCATAAGCGTGTGTGTGTGTTCGTGCAAATATATATTTAAAAGAAACAAAAATTATTGAATAATTTTGTGGTTTTCTCAAAAATCATTACATATCTTGATTTATTATTATGAACTCACTTTTATCTAAGAACCGAAATGTTCCACGGAAACCAGCTCCTTCGGGTAGATTATAATCTGGTACATGAAGCGATAATGCCAAGGAAGAACTAGAACTGTATATTGTGCGCGGTGCCTCTGATCGCCCACCACACACCATTCGCTCCCACGATGTTCGTTCGCCAATTTCTGCCTGCTCCAAATGCGGGAACAGTTTGACATGAGCACCGCGCGAACATCTGATGTAAAAGTTAACAGCGTGAGGTTTATGTAAAATATCTAAATTGCAAATTCTCCATTTAAAAAATGAAAATAAAAATATAAAAACTTCACAATATGAAATAAGACCACGTCGTGCAATAAATTGTTTTTCTTCAGACTATTTTGTGTTATTGGTTCACATGAATCTCGCGTATGCAGAAGCATAGAAAAAAAAATACAGTCAGTCAAGTAAAAGCGTGGTCGTCTTTAACGACAGTTAATGAAAGATTTCAGTCTAATTCCTTTGCGAGCCGATCAAAGGAAGCTTTGTCCTTGATGCATTGTCAACAAAGGTTTGGTTGACGATGTTTTGAAATAGAATCACGTTAAACGCCATGAGTGCTAAGTTGCACGTCATGCTACGAGGCTGTGCTCCTTCGCATCCACCCAAAAGGCCCCCGAATGTCGCAATCAGCGGCTGCTAATCACATGAGAAAGTCGAAGGCATTTGTACAGAATTGGATACGCCTATATAAAGTTGATAAAAATGTCTGTGATTTATCAGAACGTGGTTTGAATAAAAAACAAGAAAAAAAACAGTGAATGTGTTTTCGCGGATTCCTGCTTTAACACTGCGGTAAGGACGAGCAAAATTTAGAAATATCTACAAAACTATCCGAAATGGCGCAACACAATGGGGAAGCCTCTGACGACTGTAAAACATGTGCTTTTTCTTCCGCTTGGGCACATGAAAATTTGATAAAGATTTTGAAAATGTCATTTTTACTGATTAATGTTCTATGTGAGCACGTATTGTACTCACGCAGACCTTGAATTAGAATACAAGCCCTCAGACTAGAATACGTCGTTAAATTAGAAAAAAGCTTGCGTCGGTGATGCCAGTCAATGTCGACTCCGGCGATGACAAGACACATATGACCGAATTGCATCATTGCTTGTAAGGTGTACGATGCACATATAAATTAAAGTTTCATAAGTAATCATTTTTTTAAATTAACACAACCACGCTCTTACTTGACTGACTGTGACATAATATAGCATAAATATCCTTCGAAACCATTGAAGCATTAATAAACTACCTATTTTATTGTGTTTATTACGATTTGATATAAAAAAGCCAAATGCAAAATGATTTTTTTTAAGTTAAGTTTGCATTTATTAGTTTAGCATGAGTAAATCTTAATTGTCTACTACATCTATATCTTCAATATATCAAGTGTGTTTTATAACAGTTTTCTCACTCATTTTCTATCTACCATGAGAAATCTGGGTTGATTATTTAATTAGATTTTTAATATTTAATCTGCAATAAACTATTACTCACTCGCTGCCAATTTTGGGCATATGAAATTCGCTGAGAGTCAGCTCAATTATCTCATGCGGTTGGGCGATGAAAGTGTACAGCAAGCATGTTGTCATTCCAGTGTACGCCAATGGAAAGTCTGGACTATGAAATCGACCAAAATCTTTTCCAAAAGTACTTGAAAATACTATACATTGACAATCTGCAAAGAGAAACAAAAACAGAAGTAATATAGATAATATAATAATTGAATACTTAAATAACAAAAAAAAACTATTTTTTTTTTTAATCTGATAAGTTCTTTAATGACCCAGATAGTTAACCAAAATATTTCCTAAAATTTTGAGGAACCAGAAAATGATGAAATCACATAGATTAACATTGGAGCATTAAGCAAAGTGAAAAATTAAAATGAAATTAATCTCAAAAGGGTATTTACACCAAATCAAGTTAATCAGGTTTCCTGGGACATTTGACTTAAAAGTTAGCACTTACCTGGACCTAATCCGACAACAACGTGTGCCATTAAAAGACAATGCAAAATCCATATCCAAACAAAAGCGTCCTAAAATAAAAATAATAAATCATGATTTAGTTTACGAAATTAGATTTATTTTATAAATCTATGAAAATAATCGGTGTTGAAAATATATTTAAATCATGTTACATTTGATTTTAAATCATTATATGTATGTACAACTTATAACGCTTATGAAAAAATATTATAGGAGACATAGTAGAAATTCATATATACATATATCAACGGTAAATTAACTTACATTCATCATTTTAATCCGTAAACATGTCCTTGCAATAACTGTTCAAACATCACCTCACATCTTGAAAATAATATTAATAATATTAATAAAATTTGTTTAGTGATTGTTTGCAGCATTTGAAATTACCAATATAAATATTTTGTCCACGAAATATGTATTTCAGGAGTTTAAAAGTCAGAAAAATCTTGTTAGAATCTAGGTGTCAAAATACCCCTCAAAATAATCCATTACTATTAATTTTGTAAAATTATATTCATTTAGAATAAAATATTTTTAAACAATTTTATTTCCATATTATCATTGTTTATTTATGTTATTGAATAAACGCACACGTGCACAATATAAATTAATAAGCACTTGATATTTACTTTTTTACACATAGATATAGTTAAATAATAATCTACAAACCACAATGTAATTCTTTATATGCAAACATTTATTTATTAATTATGATTTCATAATAAATAATTGAATAGATGTTTTTCCAGTTTTGATAATGGCAGTAGCAGAGAAAATATATAAAACCTATATTGTCCGGAATCAAGCGTTCCGCGCATGCTTGTAGTAAATCGATTGATTTTCTACACGTATGAAAGTTACGGACGATCAGCGATCTTTCAATTTTTGTTAACAATTTTCAAAGGTGCCATTGACACAGGCCATTTTCATCAAACATTGAATTTTCAATTAGAGTCAAACTCGGACACCGAATTCAATCACAGTGCTACTATAGGAAAATTATTTAATATAGTTTAAATTGATAGAGACGTTTGTCCGGTTTGAAATTCAAGAGCGGTTTGTGAAATTTGTCATAAAATCAATTTAATAGAGAAAATAAAACATGAAGTATGGCATAGTAAAAAATACATAAGCTTGAATTGAATTTTCTAACATGCCATAATATATAATTTTTAGAATCTAGCGCGCATATATATACTTAAATGCTCAAATCTAAGTCATATATATTATATATATATATTATATATATGGTATATATTATATATATTTATTTGAATTTTTACAAAAAAAATATTTTTAATTTTTACAAAAACAAAAATTTGATGATTTCTAGTTTACGATTAAGAGTTAGTGTTATGTGTATTCGTTTCTCTCCATTTAATACCAATGCTTAAGTTTCAAACTAGGCGTAAGGCAAATTGCTGGAATTTCTCATACCAAAAATTTATTTTTTTAAAGAAGATTAAAATTGTTTTAAACTTAAATTAGATTTTTGAAAAAAAAAAGACTTTTATGAAACAAAAAATATTATTTTGGAAATTTTGAACTTTTTTCCAAGCAATTCTAACGTACAAACGATGTTACTGAACTGTGAACAAATCGGTAGCGTACCTAGGGGGCGGGAGAGCCGGTCCGCCGGGCTGCACTTACCTTGGGGCGGCATTTTTTAATTTACTAATAGTTGTAAAAAGCAACTTATTATTTCATATCTATTTTCTTTTTTGAATTATAAATGATTATTATGATTATTATTATTGTCAATATTTGATTTATATTAAAATTATGATTAACTGTGATTATGATCTCGAATATTATTCCTTGGTGTATATAAATGTATTTTAGTGTCAATTTTGAATTCTAATTTAAGAACAAGATAATAATTTTATTCTATTGTATTCATTAAAATTCGTTGAATTCGTAAAAGAATCTTTACGATTTTGTTTGGCGATTTTTCCTAACTATTTTTTTTTTTTTTGATATCAGCTTATAAATGTCATTTCTTTTGAAAAGTTTATATTATGATTACTTTAAAGTGATATATCAATATATTTTTAACATCACCAATTTTTCTTTTTAAAATCAGGGCTGGCGAAGGCGGTCTGCTAGTTCTGCAAAGCCTTAAGGCATTACATAAATATGTTAACGAGTGCATACAAATATGTCTAAAAATTTACTCGTGTATTAATCAATATTGATTCAATAACTTAATAATTTATTAACTTTCCAAAGGGCAAGTTATAGTATTCGCAAAAAAATCGAAAGTAAAATTTGTATATATTGTTACGTTTCAAAGGTTTCTGAATTTAGGCATGCCTTAGAAAATGGATGTGTGTGTGTTCAGATACAAACTTTCGTCGACGATGTTAGGAACAGTGGTGTTGTCGAGCCGAAACTTCGATCCGGCAAATCATTTTTAGGCCGGAACGCGTTCCAGCAAAAAAAAAATTAAAAATCGCTTACATAACAAAAATGATTTAATAAGTGAATTTTATAATTATAATTCACTAATTTTTATTAAATGTTCCTATTATTGTAATAAACATAAATATCTGTGCACAAAATAAGTTTTGTAATGATTTTTGTTTCTTTCCTTTTCGAACGGAACGGACAACAAAAAAAAAAAACCGCTTTTTGAACCGTTCCTAATTTTAGCGTTCCGGCAAAAAAAATATTTAGCACAACACCACTAATCAGTGGTGTTGTGCTAAAATTTTTTGTGTGTTCCTAATCAGGACCACACCCTCACCGATTGAATAATTCAACAAAAACATTCGATTCGTACTGATAAGACGTGTTAATAGTTTTTGGCAAGGCAGTCCAGCCGTTTCAAAGACACTGGACAAAAACGCCAGAATTGAATTTGTTTTGGGTTTCAACGAAACACGCTCAGATTCAAATAATTCAAAAACATTTTATTTGTTTGACTAAGCGAAGAACTGTTTTTAAGAAGGCATTTCTAGCGGTTCAGAGATTCAATAAGTAAAAGTAAAAAAAAATGAGATTTGGCGGTCCAAAATGATCTTTAAACATATGTACGTCAAATTATTTGATATTTTCTAGAGTTCTTAATAATAGAAACAAACTTAATTTACATTTCTATGAGTTCCGTATCAATGT